GGGGGGGGGCGGGGGAAGGAGAGGGGGAACCAGGTACGAAAGATCAACCGTCGAGTTGGAGGACATTCGTACGGTCGGTTTGAGGGAACAAGAAAGCAGGCCTCTTCTTTTCACGAAGCTGGAATCCGATCTTTTTCTTTTCTCTTTTCGTTTCCTTTTTGGCCTTTGCTATTCTTCCGTTTCCTACCCTGCACACTGTAGCTATTCTACGGCAGCAACAGCTGCTATTGCCGATCTTTTTCTTTTCTCTTTCACAGAATCACAGGGTGTACTACTTACAACAGCAGCAACAGCTGCTCTGAATACAGTGGAGCGCGCCGTCCAGCGAAATCACTGGCAATATAGCAGCTCGACGTTCTGTTACATAGCATGGCTTCCATGGAAGTCCTCCGGGGACCACCACTCTCCGGCTCGCCGGGTTCGGCACTGGTTTGCGTGCTACCGTTTGTATCTGACTAGAACGCCCGGCAGGTCATTAACGCTGCATCTGGACTGCAAACTGCGCCAAATGCAGCTATAATGACCGGGGAGTGCTATTCGGGTGAGGACGGTAGTATCCAAGGATCCCTCCAGGACCTTCTATAGTATCATGACCCTGCTCCCAATACATAAAGGGCATACTCACACTAGCACTTTCTAGAATGCATCAGACCGTAATTTCAGCCACAGCTGTATGCATCTGGCCGTAATTCCGTCCAGAAATTAAGTCAAAAACGTCCTAGTGTGAGTATGGCCCTAGTGTTCCTTCGCAGAGAGCATCTGGGCAGGAGTGCATCGGGTGCAACGTCCCTCTTGCAGAGCTTGCAGGGCCTAGGAGACAATTTGACCCCCGAGGATGCTCTTACCACCCCTGGCAGCGCTACCCCCTGCGGGAAAAAAAAAAGAAAAAAAAAAAGAGAAAAAAAAGTCCGTAAGTTTGCATTCTATCGCACTGCCCAATGCATTGCATAGCATCCCATTACATTGCAGATCTTTACGTCTCAAGGCTGGCAGCGCTACCCACAGCGGAAAAAAAAAAAAAAAAAAAAAAAAAAAAGAAAAGAAAAGAAAAGAAAAGAAAAGAGAAGAGAAGAAAGAGAGCGAGAAAAGAGAGAAAAAAAAGTCCCTAGCGTTTGCATTCTATCGCACTGCGCAATGCATTGCATCGCATCCCATTACATTGCAGATCTTTACGTCTCACGACTCCCGAACGAGTTGTACATGGGTTGTGAGAAGGTTTAGGGTTTAAAGGGGTTTAAAGGGGGTTAACGGACAGAGATGGTAACAAAGAACGGGGGGCTGGTGAACAGGGCTGGGCTAATAAATAATGGGTGGCATTTGGGTGCTCCAAGATGGGATGGGTGTTACTACAGTCTTCCCCCGAATACAACGTACGCTCATTAAAGTTGAATTTGATGTACCTTTCCGTCTACGTACAGCTATAATGACCCTACGTTGTATTCGGGGGAAGAAGGTAGCAGCTCCATGGGAAACGGAGCCCCGGGCTGACAAGAGAGATAACCACCACAGCCCCAGGAAACATCAAACAGCGAAAAAAAAAAAAAAAAAAAAAAAGGAAGGTCAACGGATTGCCTAATATAGGGACTTCTTTTTTTGGTGATAGGTTGATATAACATCATCCCTTTTTTTGGTGGGTGGTTGGTGGGGTTGGGGGTTTCCGGGGAGGGGGGGTGTGGAATAACATCAACACTTGCATGGGACTCTGGATGTAATTCGAAGAGGAAGAACTCCTGATCCTGGCATGAATAACCAAATAACCAGCCTCCAAATACAGCTTCGCACACAGCTGCACCTGGACTGGAAGTTGTTCAAGTACAGTTTTTGCATACATACAGCTACCATATAATGACTTTCTTTCAGTTGAAAAGAAAGAACACACACACAAAAAACAGCAGCAGAAAATGAGACATAGCTGTCTGAGGGCAGCTTCTTCTTCTTCTTCTTCTTCTTCTTCTTCTTCTTCTTCTTCTTCTTCTTCTTCTTCTTTTTTTTTTTTTTTTTTTTTTT